GACGTAAGTAAACGTCATTAACATGACGTCATTTTTGACGAGACAAACTCACGTCGTCATTACGTTAATATCACGTCATAAACTAACGTCGAACTGGTCAAAAACTGACTTTATATTAACGTCATTATAACGTCAGCTGGTTGCCTGGGATCATAAATTTAATGTATTATTCTCGTATTTGTTGAGTAATATGAAACAATAGATGCTTTCCAGCTACATACGGTCGACACTGTGTAACAGTCCACTAGTGTGAATGAGATACACTGATATGCTCTTTCTCACGCTAATAGACAGTATGTTATACATTTAACTTTAATTTTCTCAGAAATTTGACGTGTTAGGTCAATTTCGCCGCCGGATTCATTTTCAGTGACTAAAAATCCATTAAAAAACACTTTGTTTATTCAAGTATCAGCATATATTAACAAAACATTTGTTCGCGTTGTAAAAATGTACTTTAAATTATATTTAAGAATAATAAGAAAAGTATTTTTATTTATTGTTGCAGGTACATTGCATTGCAACATTTTTAATAAAATAATAATTGAAATAAACAATAAATGAAATGTAGGATAGCTTGAGAATAAATAGATAAAAATAATCATATGTTAGTAAGGAACACAAGTGGTCTCGCGGACTGAGTGCAGGGGCTGCGAATATGGAGGTCTCGAGTTCAAATCCCGCTATCACATTTTAGGATTTTTTCAGATTCGGTCTCTTTCAATGGAGTTCATTGGTTGATCAACGAGCTGAATCACGCTTCTAGAAATTAATTCGAGTAAAATGTCAAATTAATTCTCTTCCGATAAGGCAATATACCACTGATTTTCTTTTTTTTTTTTTTGTAGTAATTCCACTTGGATTCTAGGGGATAGATCTGATCTGCGTTTGGTAACAATCTGTCAGCGCTTCTAACGGCAGATTTAGTCTGTATTTGCTACTGTTTTGTTGACAGTTTTGGTAACAGATATGATGTGTATTTGGCGCGATTTTGGCGCCAACAAACGATCACCAAATCTGTTCTGGATTTGTTGCGTCACTTTGGCTTTGCTTTGCTAGTGGCAGACTTGTTATGATTTTGGTCTCATTTTCACATCTCACATGTTTGACAGATATGGTCGCCAAACTATATCCTAATGAGGACACAGATGGATATGGAGTTGGTCTACTAATTTCGCCGGCGGTTGGCGACAAAACTGCGACATCTCGCAACCAAATTGTTTGCTGGGTTGAAATAAAATCGTATTTTTGTACACATCTTGTATGTGTTTGTATTAGCCCTTCATCTATTATAAACACAATTTCACATGAGCAGTTTTGTCTATTAATTGTACTTGTTATATTTGCCGGTACAAGACTTGTAGGAGATGGTCTGCGTTGGTTACTACGGTTATCTGATTCTTTCGTCATGTTTATCTGGGAATAAGTATCATTATTATGTAAGCAAGATGTGTTAACTGATTGAGAAGGAGAGTAGTATGTAGAAGATATTGATGAACTTGTAGAAGCTACTGTTGTTGATGTTTTTAACAAAGAGTTAGGTTTAGGCAATTTTTATGTCATCTGTGTATCATCCTCGTTACTTGATCGAATCTGGTTCTTTGGTATATTTGAGAATCCTACAATTAAAATTATATTTTAAATAATAATCCGTATATTTTTTAAATAAATACAACAATATTATTAGCTATCTAAATATAAACTTACCTAATTTTTCTGTTGACTCATTCGTCTTGACTGGATGTAATTGTTTAAAAGTCAAATTTGATATATTAGTTATAGATCTAGAAGGAAACAATTTAAATTATTCAAACATAAGAATATAAATGTTTTACAAATTTATTATAAAAACTTAATGAAAAAAACTTACTTCCTACTTTTGACAAATTTGAACAAAAAATTCATTTGGTCATATAAAGGAAATATTGATCTCATTGTACTTTCACTTCCACTTCTTGTTTCTATTTCTCGTAATTTTTTTTCACGAGAATATCGTTCGCGTAATCTTGCCCATCTCATTTGACAATCTGAAGCTAAAAGATACTATAATAAATCTATTTTATTAAACAAAACATTTTTTGAAAAAAAGGGTAAAAAACAATGTGTCATCATACAGAGAGAAATTATACGTAATTTGTTATCTTTTTGACGACAATTGTATGTTTTTGATAGATTTTACTATTATATAAATTTTAAAAAACTATTATATAAATTTTAAAAAATGTGACAAAGTATATAAACAAAGTATATAATTGTAAACAAAATTGATATAAAAAAATATGTTCAATACCTGTTGCGTTTAAAATTTCTCCTATTTCCTTTCAAGAGTTTTGTTTTTTATTAGTATCTTTAAAGTCTTTTACTTCTTTATCGTAAAGATGAAGATAACCTTTACCTAATTCTATTAATAATGAATCTTCTTCTCTCGAAGTCATCAATGTCTTCATTTTCTTTATTGTTTTCACTATCTTTTCTTTTACAATAATTATTATGATCTATGATTGTACCTTTATTATTTTTTTGTACTTTTCTTATATCTATATTATCTTTAAGTCTACAGAATTTTAAACAATAGAAACTTTTGTTTGAAATTTGATTGATTGTGCATAGACCATATGCATAAAAATTTCGTTCTTATGGATTTTTTCATTTCTTATGCATATGTTATGCTTATGTATGTATATGCTATGTTATGTAAATCAATATGGCGACTTTATGCTAGACGCTCATTGGTCCATATAGTTTTATGCTATGCATATGCAGCTATGTCATTTTGTGTAGGATAGCCCTAACTGTTGCAAATAAAACTTTTTAAGGCCATCGCACATGAATCTCCGTAACCATAAGCATAAGACATAAGCATAAGCTCGAAAACCAATCAAAAAGTACCTTTAGGTCAGAATACTGCAGTAAGGCTGCTTTCCTTTTAGGAGACACAGTCGACACAAGTCGACACAGGAGTCATTCTGTCTCTGTTTCTCACTGAATACCGAACAAAGACAGAATGACTTTTGTGCCGACTTGTGTCGATTGTGCATATATGTAATACTTCTATATGGCTAGTTGAGCTCTCAGCGCGGTTCCAACACTACGGTGCAGACAATGCTCTACTCTCTTTATTACTCTTTATCACTGTTCAGTTTGTTCGAAAGCGCATGCGTGACATGTATCCATAATG